TAACGAATTATGAGTAAGCAAGATGAGATATGAATCATGTATAAGGATACCAAATATGAGTGTTGTGGTCTCACGGTCAACTACATAGTAATTAGGGCTCCCCATACTATTACTCTGTTATGATATGTTATGTCACACCCCTGGTGTGGTGTTGACCGTTGATTCATCATGAGATAAGACCACACCCAGAGCGGTGTCGGGGTATGACTACACCCATAGTGGTGTGGGGTATGTATGACCACATCCGACGGGATGTTGGGGTATGTATGACTACATCCGACGGGATGTGGGGTATGTTTCCCGGGAGAGTTAATAGCATGGGAGTAGCCAGGCGCCTATAAGTAAAACATGATAAGATGCACATGCATAAGTCAAAGTGGTTGAGTCTTTTGCCCATTGGGATATGAGGATGGGTGAGGTCCGATCCTAGTGTTTTGGCGATATTGCTAGATGTATGGTAGGGGTATGCTCTGTTATGAACTCACGATGCTATGATTATCTCACTCAGCTATGAGCTGACCCTCTTTATCCTTTTTCTCTGCTTATGCTATGTGTAAGTAGATCATCAGCAGCAGCAGTAGATAAGTGTTAGGTGGGAGAGGAGCTAGAGTTGAAGCCAGGATGAGGTATGGTCTTCAACTATTCTGTGCTTGGACTACTACTCGGGATTTTGGCCAGTGATCCACACCTTTTTGTAAAAATGTTTTGAGATCGTTTTTCATGTGCATACTAGCTTCTGATGTAGTGTGAGATATCCATAGGTGTGGAAAGTTGATGATATGTGTATATTTGTGTAATTATGTAAGTTGTGACGATTATGGCATGTATCAGTATAGTATGCAGTTGTGTAACATGAAACGGTGACTATGGCTATGAAAAGCCAATGCATATGGCAGTGAGTGTATATGTTTGTCTATGAATGCATGGATTTAGATGAATTATTTTGCAGGATCAGATGGAAGAACTGTTAGCCCATTACACGAGTAATTCATGTCGAAATTTTATTTGGGTAAATTTTGATAATTAGTGTAACACCCGAGATTAATTCCGCTGCAATTGTATGAACAATATGATTAGGCAAAACGTATAGGGTAGGGTGTTACACTGGTTCTCTCTCATGGTTTTAAAAGTGAAAGTGACAAGTGCATTTATTACAAATTTGAGAATGACACTTGCATTATGAATGACACATCGATATGTCGATATGAAAAAACCATGTTTGAGAATTTTGAATGTTCTCGATGAAGCTTGTGTAAGCTAGGAAATCCATGTAACTATGACAATGAATAGATTTCCTCTAGATCAGTTTAACTACATAGTTAAGATCTAGAAGAAATACAAGCAGTATGCCTGCAGAAATGGTTGATGATGCTAGTGTAAATATTAAAGAACACTGGAAACAGTGTGAGAAACAGAGAAAGTTAGAATATACTAGCATCGACAGTCTGCGTGACGCAGCTGGTAAACATGAGACCCGACATAGTGGGGGTACTTGGCAGGCTTACTGATTGTCCTAGTATGAAGCATTGAAATGCTATTGAAAGGGGTCATGAGACACCTTAAAAGAACAGAAAAAGCTTGGTATTTGTTATCAATGGTTTTGCTGTATTGGTAGGGTATAATGATGCGGATTAGAATACCTTATAGAGGACTCCAAGACAACAAGAGGATGTGTTTTAAACATCGATAGAGAAGCTATGTCTTGGAAGTCCAAGAAGTAAACGATCCTGGCTCAATCAACTAAGAAAACAGGAATGATAGAACTAGCAATGGCTAGTAAAGAGGAAAGTTGATTGAGAGGGTCATTACTAGAGATTCCCTTATGGGAAAGACCGATCCCTCCGGTAGTTGATTCATTGTGATAGCACCGCAGCTATTACTAAAGAAGGGAACCGGTTCTAGAACGAAAAGAGACGACAAATTCGTCGTAAGCACAGTAATGTAAGAGAACTCCTAACGATAGGAGCAATGAGGGTGGATCCTGTAAGGTCCTAACAGAATCTAGCTGATCCTTTGACGAAAGGATTATCTAGAGAGAAAGTCCAAAATACCGCCAAGGGTATGAGACTTATGCCTACCGAACCACGGATTACAAGTGATGGTAACCCGACCCGATAGACTGGAGATCACAAGAAACGGGTTCAATGGGTAATAACAAGTCATGAGTAATATTGAGAAAAGTTCATGCATAGTGAAGCATGAATCCCAAAGCCTTGGAGGTTGAGTTCAACTCTTAATGAGATCTATACTCTATGTGGAGAGGAGTACTTTACTTTGGGGGTACTCCTGATAGACTCACCTATGTGAATGTGGGAGTGGGACCGCTCCCTATGGAACTTTGGAGGCACAAAGTTGCTAGAGCGTTCACTAAACCGGGATAACGTGCATGGCCATAAACGCACGGCCTATGAGAGAATATCACTCAATGAAAAGATCCGGTGTGCTACATTGTCTGAGATAGGGTTCAAGACTACGAGTCACCCTTATGAAATCGGAATTGTAACCACTACGCTAAGGTTCAAATCTTCGCGATACCTTAGCTTATGCCCGATCTTATGGAGCTGTTGATGCTCAGAGATAGTTTCAAACTATTCAAGTGGGGGATTGTTGGGATGAATAGCTTTGAAAAGCTATAAATGAAATCCCTAATTAATTATCCAGTATTTTCCCATAATACATAAATAAGATGGATAATTAATAAAAGGAATATTATGGAGATAATTAGGTTTAATTATCTTAATAGGTTATATTTTAATTATGAGAGTAATTATCTCCTTAATTAAAATATGACTTATTCCCAAAGAAAGAGGGAATATTCTGGGTTTTCTGCTCCTATAAATAGGAGACGCCCCAGACCCTCTAAACACACCTCAGAGAGCAGAAACACGAAAGAGAGTGAGTTCATAGAGCTCCGGTTTTTCGCACAAAACCGATGAGCATCAAAATTAGAATGACTGTTTTATCCTGGAGGCGACCGGCTGATAATCTGCTGTGCGCAATACGAGGCAGTGCCGCGAACGTCTTAAAGAGAGCGACCTAGTCCGCGACTCAGCCAGATCGGTAACCCTAGATTTTTCCTGTTCGATTTCTAACAGGAGGTGGTAAGGATCCTAACTGCTGTTCCTACCTCTCCCTTTCTATTTTCCATTATAGATATCCCTAACCCCTTTAATCTCAGTTATGTACAAGACTTTTCTTTTAATGAATGACCGTCAAGAACTATAACATCAGATAATTTAAGATGTCGAAACAAATTCAATTACGAAAATATTCTTATTCTCATTTTAATCTATTCATCAGTAAAAAAAATCAATTACGAATCTTGTATCAATCGTGTGACCCTGAAAACGACGCGAAGATTGTGGACTTGAAGTGGCAGGCAAATGGTCAAGACTCGTGGTGGCACTAGAAGTAGGTTTCAGTTAATACCAGAGTTTGTGAAACCATACCATAGGGATGACAATTACCTACCCATGGGTAATTATACCCAAACCCAAGTAGACCCATTGATAATGGGTTGGGTATGGGTGAAGTGCATACGGGGTTGGGGGTTTGTAGATGGGTTTGGGTTAAGGTATGGATATTTCTTCCATAATCTAAATGGGTTTGGGTTGGATATGGATATCTATTTACTTGAGGATGTTTCAACTACACATACAAAAATTGTTTATGTACCAAAATGTAAGACCAGAAAATTTTAAGTACTAAAATGTAATTTTCCATCGATATTTTGAAGACTTATATGCAACAAAAAAAATTATGCACTAAATATGTATATCTATTAAGTTTAGGTATCAAACTTTAATTTGTATTTGAGCATGGGTACAAATCCATTTGTAAAAATCCAACCTAACCCTAGTAAATGGGTGTGGATAGTAAAATACCCATGAGTATGGGTAAAATTGTCATCCCTAATACCGACAATCCAACCCGGAGGACCTGCTATCAAAATCAAAATCAGTAGGTGATACGAAACAGCCGACCTTGATTAAATCAGTGTTTTATCACAAAATACATTACCACCGGCTCTTCCGTTACAACCCCCAGTGCAGTTTCACAACCATTGGTTAATACCAATTTCTTTTGCATTATGGTACTGCCTACCTCAGGAGTTAGGCATTTTCCTTAAGTATGATTAGAAGTAGAGGTGGCAATTAGGATCCAAATCCATGAATCCAATCCAATCCATCCACCAAATTATCCACCTAATCCAATCCATTTAAATCCAATCCATTTGATCCAAATCCAATTGGATTGGTGGATTCATGGATCAATCCATGGATCCAAATGGCAAATTGCGATTTGGTACCTATATTTTTTATATTTTACATTTTGGTACCTAACATTTATATTTTTATACGAAAAATATCATTGGAAAATTACGTTTTGGTACCTAAAATTTTTCATTATGACATTTTAGTACCTAAACTTTTCAAAATTTACATTTTGGTCCAAGCCTTGGTTGTTATTTGGATTCATGGATCAATCCACCAATCCATTGGATCCAATCCATTTGATCCATAGAGCCACGAATCCAATCCACGAATCCACGAATCCGATCCAATTGCCACCTCTAATTAGAAGACAGTAATTATGTTAACCAGCGTCTCAGGCCAGAAACAACGTTAGAGACCAAGTAAAAGAGAGAAAGATAGCACCTTTGTGCCATATACCCCAGTAAATATGCTCCACTCTTCCCTTCAAACTCCAGAATACATATCAGGGAAGAAACTTAACGTGGGCAACTATTGGAAAGGGTGTTTAGCCCTTGAGAGGTAGGAAGGAACAAAGAGCGACATTGTTGAAACATACATAATATACAACCATCCATTTCCAATCCCCCACCCTGGCTCTAATTAATGTAAAACCTAATTACCGCCGACTACCATCACTTTTACCCCTCTGTAAAATACCTCTAGTCTGTGCCTGCACACGTCCAAATGACTATCATGACCCTGATGATGGAATTATATACCGTCTCTGTTTGTTTGTGGTATGTTTCACTGCCTCTTGGCTAGAGTTTTCATCAAGCCCTTGATGATCTTGGCAAACCACATCAAGTTCATTATAAACAACGACGAGGGCACCATCACAACCTCCATGCATCCAAACCATCTCATATGGAGAACCTGCCGATTCCCGGGACAGTTCAAAAAACAAAACACAAGCAGCTTCAGATATTAGAATCATGCCTTGCCACATCCACATGAACGACACGTCAAAAAGACGGGATAACGGATCCCCCCACATGATCAAAGTGCATGTTGATGTGATAGAAGATGTAAAAGAATAGCATCACTCTGGCAATCTGCAGGCGTCGACAAAGTTCAGTTAGAAACCTGATAAACGTCTCGAATTCTTTCAAACAACAGATCCCTTTTAAGCAGTAAGCGGGCAGAAAGGTTTTTACTCACCAGCCAAAAGAGGAATATCAGTACACCATTTACAAGATAAGCAGTTGACGCTTCATACCTGATATGTCAAGATACCTATAAAAAGACATGATTAGTATTTTAAAATGTTAACGGCTTTTTACCATTTCTGATGTCTGAGAGTCACACAGGACTTATCAAAAGAACTACTTACCATCTCATGTTTATCTCTGGCATGGTGACTTCAGAGATGAGGCACATGTATGTATACAGCTGCCCTTCTCCGGACAACATAGAATATGCAACCGCTCTTGCAGAAAGACAGTGATGAACAACCTGAAACCAGATGCCACTATTCCATGAGATAAAACTTCTATCAATCATCGTATTGTCAGGAGCCATGCCTTTCACTTCAATAGATGTTCTCTCTTACTCTTTTAAACTTGCATAAGCACCAAAAATGTTCACAAGTTTGATGAGCGAGCTAGCTTTCCCTCCTCAACAATAGATTTGTAAACCAAATTCAATCGAAGAAAAGACAGAAAGAACTGAACTTACATATTCCATTCCACCTAAAGAAGGATAAAACCATAAAATCATCCCAAGATCTGCAAGGAAGTATCCAACAGAAACCTGTCAAATGAAGAGAGTTTGTACATGCCGAGTTAGTTTTCTACAGAATACATGACATCAATGACAAGCACCTAGCTAAACCAGTACATCAGTTACTCTTTCTTTCGTAACTTTTGTCATTATCTAAGAGGGAAAGGCAATGCCCTGACAGGAAAGCAAAACAACATCCAACCTTAAGCAGATGACATGAGAGACATTGACTAAACCCGAAACCTAGAAGTTATAGCAAGAGATCATCCTTACATACAGATACAATTGCTTCATGTACTTCCAAACATGATATATACAATGTTGTTCAGTGCAGAAATAAAGACACCAGATGAATCACTAAACAGTTTTTGACGACGGAAGACCAACCATCTGTAAAGTCACTCACAAACTATTACCAAAAAGGTACAAGGTAAAAAGAAGTCCCATTCAGAAAGATCAGCACTGGGATGCTTGAGCACAAACAGCTGATTGATGTCAAAGATCAATATATCAGGGTAAACAAGTAGAGAAAGACCACTTACTACCAGTCCAAATATGGATAACGGTGAGCTTCGTAGAGTGACATAACCAGTATGCACTTTGTCAGAAAAAAGATCAGACCAGAATACAAAGTACAACGACAAAGCTGTTATAAAGATGGCGTGTAATGAAGACACCCCCCTGCAAAAATTGGGTCACTGACCAGTAAGGACCAACCAACACTACCAATAGGGTAATGAATAGTAGGAATTAGATATGCCCTAACCGATTGTTCCATTCAATTCTTTGTATCTTCGTCAGCCCAGTGTAGGCCTTGATGTAAAACGTGTTAATCAACTGAGTTAGATCATATACCTGTTAGCAGGAAGTACACAGCCACAGTATCAACAATCAATAACAAGAAAAATCATACATCACCAGGACATATATATTAGGTTGTAAAGAGGATGTACCACTTTGCAAGCAACTACACCGCCAAGGACAGAAGTGTATGCAACAAAAGGACCTGCAAATAAGTAACTCTTAACCAGCAATTTAGCCTGACTACGGTAGGCCTCAATTGCCATAACTGTCTCTTTCGGCATAGTCACCATGGCCAGTCAAATCATATACGTTATTATATGAATAGATATTACTTGTTGTACTGTCTCCTAACTTATTACTGCTATCCTTTGGATGCTTCCCTGACTGACATGAAAGCATTGGCCAAGTCAATTTAAATGGGATGTAATAGCCTAAACCAACACGACAATGTTACACAAGACAATTATAAAAGAAAATTGTGAAGGGCATTAGGAACAGATTGAGCAGCCCGAAAGCAACTGTTGTCAACATGCGAATACAGTAACAACATAAGGGTGACACTGGAAAAGTCATATTCTAGAAACTAGAATCACAGAAGCTGAACAAAGTTGCAGCAGACAGGAAAACTTCATATTCCTATGGACACCATGACATTGCAATGTAACTGAACGAACCTAACAACAATTTCGTTTCTTTTCTAAACAATTGAGAGCTTTGAAACAAAGGCCATAAATAATGCGCAAGACACAGATGAACAAATGTGTTTCTCTCGGAAGAGCTGAAAACATATAAACAAAAGAGCAGAGGAAAAAGACGAGACACCAATCAATGAATTGATCAAACAACTTCGTCCACCTCCGCAGAGCTTGCCAGTCTCCATCAAAACAAAAGAACCCAGAAAGCTCTTTCAAAACTAGCAACCAAATCAATTAAATTTGTCCCAAACTCAATTTGCACAAGTTTCATCGAATCAAATCGTAAACCCATTCCGCATTTATTCCCAAACGAAACCATGAAAGTGATCAACCCTTCCCCACAAGCAATTATATTCACTGGCGACGTTGCATTACAAAGAGGGGAACATTCACAGGCTAATACCCAGGGGGAAACAAAGACTTTCTCAACCAAAAACGCCAGTAAAGATGAAACGAATACGCTCGTAGAGAATGAGATTGAGGGAAAGGAAGGGAACTCACAAATAAGCATCAGCTTTCGCGTATTGCGCAAGAAAACTTGCGGCCCGCACAATAGATCCGAGAGTAAATTGGGGAAACCCCTCTCCAAGAATCTGAATAAGAAAAGGCAATCGATTGGGCGAAAAGCTAGAGATGAAATAGAGAGCCAAACCCAGAAAAGGAGAGAGAACACGCAATAGACCGCCGAGTAAATGCCAGGTGAACGGAAGGCGGGAGGACTAGAGACTTCCGATTTCTCAGGGGCGGAGAGTAGATTGAGAGAGAGAGAAGCCGATGGCAATAGAATAAGGAATCTGGCACCAAGCCGTGAGCCGCAATCAATGAGATTGCCACCAAAGTTTGTAACCGATTCGATGGACGAGAGATTGGGGTAAGGAATTGGAGAGTGGACAAAAACCGACGCAAGAAAAACAAGCAAAAAAAGGAACCCCCAGGTGGGGTAGCTTCCCGATTACGTGTGGAGCTTTGTTTGGATCGTTAGGGTTAGGCTAGGGATGATGGGTAAATGCCGGGGATGGGCTCCGATTGTTTTGATTCGCCGGAGATGAAGATTATTATCGATCATGTGATCGATATCTCATCATCATCATTATCATATCTGGCTGTTTCCGGATGAGTTTTTTACCCTTTCCCGGCTCCTCTGCAACGGCAACCCTATTCTTTTTTATCCTTTGACAATTGGAACGACAGCTGGACTCCTGCCCGCTGACATAACTGGTCAGCTACTTGGTGGCGCGGTGGAAAATGATGATTATTGCAAATTATATTTTCCCTTATTTTCATTTCTACGGTTACTTACACGCTATTTTTTCTGAATTCCTATTTAACGCCCTAATTATTTGAATTTATCGCCCTAAACTCATTCGAATAGACCATTTTACCCTTGCTTAAGTTGAACCCTCCGCTCATCTCTCTTCCCCTTCCCCTTCCTTTGCCCCTCCCCAAAAAGGCAGAAACAGAGCCTGCTGCCCTACAAACCCAAAAATCACCCGCCGCCCTGTAACTCCACCCAGATCCGTTGGAGCACACCGCCCTTTGCGCGACCAATCGTCGCCGAATCAAATAGGAAGGAGAAGTTGTGTCGTTGCTCGTCGTCACTGTTGTGGAAGAAGGTCCCTTCAAGATCTCGCCGTCGTCCCTCCTCAAAATCGCGTCGTCGTCGTCCAGGAAGAAGGTCGCCGCATCTCGTCGTCGTTGTTCCTCAAAGCTCGCTGTCCTCATCGTACCTCCCAGCTTTGTTGTCACTCGGGGTTTCCACCCATCCGACTGCCGCTGGAACAGGCAGGGTTTACGTTTGCTGCCCGGGGGTTAAATCTCGTCGGCGAGGTTGGGACGGTTGGCGGTGATCAGAATCCATTGGCCGACGGGATTCTTTTGCTTGATCCGACGTAATTATTCATCCAGTTTTATGGTGGACGAAACTGACGTCAACGGAACCAATTTTGTCATTTCATTGTGCATTTGGGATTGGGTTGTGGTCGGAGGATAAGGACGGTGAAACGAACGAGGTTAGAAATTGGGGGTTAGGGACAAATGTGTCTATTTTTTAATCTAGGGCGATAAAATTTAAAAATTTAGGGCGACAAATAGTAACTCTCTATTTTTTTTTAAAGAATCAACCTACTTTCATATCACTAGCATCGGCCCGATCGGGAAAATTTGATTTTATATATTTTAATGTGTTATAGAAGATGTTAGAAAAATCAAAAAATATTCTAGTGTCGAGATTTAGAGTGAGCATTCTTAACATGAGTTAAGAAATCTAGGCATAAAAGAAAAATCAAATGAGTATTTTATGCACTGCGGAAGTTATACTTAAAAGTTGAGTCTTTAGATGCCTCATTGTTAACTTCAGTATTAATATTATAATGTGAAAGTAGAGGTAGAAAAAACAGTGGGCAATGAAGAGCAAATTAATCTCAAATGCTCAATACATGAGAGCTCACTTTGAAGACCAAATGTTAAAGTAACTTTGTGTCTTCATGTTGCATCTTGTTCTCCCTAAAATTCATAGCATATGCATATGTGAAGCAAAAGCATTTAGTTATGCTCCCAAAAGAAACATAGGGAAAGACAATTAGATATAAAAAGAGATAATACCACCATCTATAATCTTAAACACTTGGGAGAGATGAGCGAGCTTGAATATGAGAGTAAAAGACATTGTCAAAAAGAGGTTCATTGTGAGAAATTCAATATTAAGAAATCCAATAAGAGTTGACACATGAAAAAAAAATCTTGTGTTTCCTAGTCAATTAGATAGCCAAAAGCAAGAGAAATAGACAAAAAAAAAATTATAACCTGCGAATTTGAAGGTATGGTACATGAAACAAAAAACTATTAATTTCTAGTCTGTGTTCATCGCCATGAGTTAACCCTTATCCCCATCCACATAACAATATCAACACAATTCTATCTATAACCATTTAACCAATAGGTTACATATTACAAAGCAAATAACAAAACTATAGCATATAGATAAAGATGTTCTCAACCACCAAACAATATATCCACCATTCATTAATCCTCAAGCTGTCAAGCATACAATTAGATGAAGTTTATCCCCACCAAAACATAAACATATAGCATGTGGTTTAGATTCAATCATTAAGCTAATTATTTATCAAGTTTCTTAACTTAATAGGAATCAGATTAATCAAGAAGAAAAAACCTAAAAGAGAAATATCTATATTCTAAGTTAATAATTATTTTTTATAAATATTTAAAAATAAAAATATGAAACTTCAATCTCTCACTCTTTCTCTACCACATTCAAACTGTGCTGGAACATCCCATTTTGTACCTTTCTATTTTCTCACGCCGTTCGAGTTTCGACACATTCTCTTCTTTCCAAAATGAATTTTTGGTTACCTTATTTCCACTTCCTTCATATACCATTTTTCAGATTGCATTAGACGAAGCTGATATCGTTAATCACGAGGAATAGATTCGATAACCGCCACCGTTGCTTCGTATAAGTCCGCCATTTTATTCTTCTGTTGCAGACCTGCAATCGATGTCAAATATTGGAAGCTTCATTTATTAACTGTTGATATTCAGACTTTAGTGTTAATTGCTTCAGTGACGGTTCGTTCATTGGTAATTTCTCGTTCATATGAGATATATATGGTTAACGATTTTGCTTATATTGACAACATTTCAATTTGTAGATTATTAACAATGCATCATTCCATAGTTAAGAGTATGATTCAATATCACAGTTTTCTATTAATGTTGTTTGTTCATATTATTGATGTTCATGATATCATTAAGAAATCATTTTATAAATGAAGGTTTATCTTGATTATGATAATTGTTAACATCACACAAAATGGAATAGGTACTGACTCGTATAATTAAAACTAATATCATAATTGTTAAAAATAACTCTATTGTTGTTAAAAATACATGTTCGTTCGATAAATGGTTATATGGTTGGGATTTGTAGAATTTTGATGTCTGAGTTTTTTATCATAATCTAAATCATATCAAATTATTATTTTAATACGGCCTAATATACAAAGCCAAAGGCCAAAATTAGATTGAAGTAAATTGTAACCGACGATTAGTACCATATATATTATGGAAGCGAAAATGATATTGGAATCTTCAAGAATGGGGATTTTATTAGAATAATGATAACTTAATTTTTCATTCATGTGTAGCTTGGTTTGATAATTGGATTTATGGAAAACACACCATCTTTTTGTTGTTTGACAGGTGAAAATAGAGAAGATTAGGCATGAAGACGAATTATGAAGCTTCGGCCAACTCTGCAGCTGTTTATGAGGAAGTAGGGTGATCGATGAAGGCTTTTGGAATGGGAAATTGATGCCCAGCTACTCAGTGAGGGCAATCTGGGATACGATACGTCCTGTGAAAAGCAGACAACACTAGTATGCTCTTCTCTAGAGTAAATTCTACGTGCATTGGAGTATCATAGCATGGATTGTGGCATGGAAGCGATAGTAACCAAGGTAAAGTTGATGTGGTGGGGTAAATTTAATGAAGATAGATGCATTTTATGTCATGTCAATAGTGAGACCTGGGATCATTTATTTTTTGAATGTTGTTTCTCGAGGAGTATTGTTAGCAGAGTTAGTAAATTTTCCAGTATCAGCTCTTGGGATCTCCGACTCTCATTTGCAAGTGTGGTTGCAAAGCGAAAAACGACTATGGGGAGACTTATTAGACCTCTATGATGCTCCTTGATTAACTTTGTCTGGCAGAAAAGGTGTCAAATGCTCCATGGAGAGGTCCCAAGAACGACCGAGTTGGTGACAGAGTTATGGCTGCAAGATTTCTGCTTCTTTGTTTCCTCTTATCTAGGTTCAGAGGCTGGGAGAGTTTGCGTCCCTCTAGCAACATAACAATAAAATAAAAAATAAATTAGAAAGTGAAATAGAACCCAACGAATTTAAAACCTAGCGGAAATGCTAAAATCAGTGCGACAGATTTAAAAGGCTAACATAAATGTTTAAACGAAGCATTCCAATTACAGTGTGGTAAATCCGTAAATGACATTTTTTCCTTCCAAAAATCACTATGGTTGCTGGATATTTGAAATTGAGAAAATTTAACCCATGAATCTCCTTCATATATTTTATAGATTGGAGGATAGTCTAGAACTAAAATAATCAAATATGAAAATTGAAGTATCAAACACCATAAAGATACTTACAGGAGACTTAGTGAGTTAGCTTATCGTTATGCAAAAGTCATCTGTTTTTCATATTTTAACTCCGTGTATGTTTTGTAATGAAAAGTATACAACGTAATTGTTTAGTGTAATTGGTTATGTTTCTTGTCTTTGTTTAAAGAGACCATGTTTCAAATTTTAGTGCTGATATATTTTTATACAAAATAAATAACTAATTGTGAAGACAAAAATACCCTTCCTACTTTCACTCTGGTTACTCGAAATTTGAAATGGAGAAAATTCAACCCATGAATCTTCTTTATATATATTGTAGATTAACTTGCCAAACTAGGCTTTTGGCCTGCTAACAGCAGTGGTACAAGGAAAATTGAGCATGCTGCCGGCCATATCTCCACATCCTCTCAGTTACACAAAGTATTGACCATAAGGTGGGCGGGCGGGCTTATTGCATCTTAGCCCACAAAAGAAAAGACGATGCAGCCTGCTTGAGTTGCTTCGGTCCAGATATCCCTGCACACGTCTCCGATTTCTAAATCAGTCGATTCCTCATTTCTCAGTTTGTGGACGACAAAGAGACAATCACTCTACCTCTCTTGACCTGAAATCATAGATCGTCGTCATTTCCAAACCAAGTCTCATTACATAAATTTTGGCAAGCTCCGTCTGGTGGGCATTGCCTCCAAGTGAGTTTGACCGCTGCAAAACTAATCTCTTATCTGCTTCTCGGATTACAACTCCAAAGTCAGTGCCTTGGCCAATTAGAACTGATGCATAGACATTGATCTTGAAGTCCCCGGCGTTCGGTGGCTTTCATGATCGTTCTCTTTATGGGAAAATAGCCTAGATAAGTCATGTTTTGCTTTATATTTTGCATGCTAGTGAGCTAGTCTGGGGCTCGAGAGATGATTCCTCACTACTCTTTCTTTTTCTTTTTTCCAGAGGTTGTAATTTCTCTCTCCCCAGATAAACCACAAAATTACCACGAACGAGCCGATCTCGTTTTAGTCAGCTTTTTGTTTCAACTCACATAACCATTCTTCACAGGTAAGATTCTCCCTTCCACCAATGATTTTCTTACATTTGTGGGTAGTCAAACTCGTTTTACCCATCCACACTTATGAAACATATGCTTCTAGGTTTATTTTCAGCCACAGAACGGACATTCTTCACAACCTCGAGATGTTCTAGCCACTAGGTTCCCGCATGTAGTTAGTATATTATTAATCAATTTCCGGGCAAACACACATACTTTAGGGGGTACCTGGAGTTTCGGACTTGCTTCCAATTCACAGGAGTATATCTTTCCCAATGTCATCAGTTGTGATCGTTTTCCATAGAAATTAGACACATCTCACACTATACTTGTCATTTCCTTTCATACCCCAAACCGAATGATCACCCTGTGGTTGTTGTAGTAGTGGGATACTTAGGATTCGAATTCTGTCCGAGGGATTGAAATGTGTGAGTGTGAAGAATGTCTCATCGCCATGTTTTGAAATCATGATCCATGAGTTCAGACACCATTGTAGAAGGGTTGGTTGTTGTGGGTCTCCCTTTCCAATTATGGATTCTCGGAGCTCCACACACCAATCGGCCGACGAGCCTTTACGTTGCGACGAAAAAGGCAGAAGAGGAATAGAGGGCCATAGTTAAATATGATGTGGCATCTACGTGTCAAATGAGGCTGAGTTGTCACTAATTTGTGCATCGATTTGGTATCCTAGTTAGTGTTTCGTAAATCTAACTGACAAAAATTCTAACACCATCAAAGTTTATAAAGAAAATGGACAGATATATTATACAATCATCTAAAAATAATAGTTATTTTGCATATTTGTTCAAAGTTGATTATTGTCGCAATCTCTAAAGTTGTGAATATATATTTTTATCCCTTAAAGAGGGAAATGAATAAATGGAAAGATTAGAGAAAAACAACGGTATTAGAAACCGGGGCTAGGATTTTGGCAATAGCGTTATTCTGCTAACCCTTTAAGTGGTTAGCAGATACTAACACGGTGGGATGATGGGCCACGTCGTCGAGCCACCATCGGAGGGTGAGGGGTCGCCGACGCTGTTCTGTGAGGGGGGGAGAGTTTTTGGCCAAGCCGAGCCATTTTTCCCAAAAGTGGGGACAGAAATAAAAAAAAAAAAACAAAAACCCAAATTTCAAACCCAAAACCCAACAAACCCGCGTCAGCCATTCTCTCTCCCCTCTATCCAACTTTCGAACCCTCATCCCTTTCTTCTTCTCCCGAAAACCGCAGAAAACCACCGCTGTTGGCGACGAGGTCTGCGACGGCGACGAGGAAAGCGACGGCGACGACGGCAGCGAGGTCGGCGACGAGGGCTACGGGCAGGAAGAAGACGGCGGTGCTTGGAAATGCCGGTAGCGGTGCTTGAAGAAAGACGAAATCGGCCGAGCAAGAAGGAAGACATCGACGCCCGTAGCGCGAGGAAGACGACTACACCAGCTGCGAAGAGAAGAAAGTTTTTGAGGTAAACATCTTCCTTTGATGTAGGTGTTTTGGATCTAAGATTCATTGTTAGGGATCTGGGATTCTTGTCGGGGGATTTGAGATTCGATTTGGGGGATCTGGGATTCTTTTGATTTTGGGGATTTGGATTTCTTTCGATTTGGGGGATCTGGGATTTTCTGTGGCTAGATTACATATATTTGATTTAGGGTTTCATAGATTCGACTGGATCTGAGTTTGTTTTTTTTTTGTTGCTTCGTTTTTTGGATCTGAGATTCATTGTTAGGGATCTGGGATTCTTGTCGGGAGATTTGAGATTCGATTTGGGGGATCTGGGATTCTTTTGATTTGGGCGATTTGGATTTCTTTCGATTTGGGGGATCTGGGATTTTCTGTGGCTGGATTACATATATTTGATTTAGGGTTTCATAGATTCGACTGGATCTGAGTTTTTTTTTTTTGCTTCATTTTTTGTATCTGAGATTCATTGTTAGGGATCTGGGATTCTTGTCGGGGGATTTGAGATTCGATTTGGGGGATCTGGGATTCTTTTGATTTGGGGGATTTGGATTTCTTTCGATTTGGGGGATCTGGGATTTTCTGTGGCTGGATTATATATATTTGATTTTGGGTTTCATAGATTCGACTGTATCTGTGTTTTTTTTTTTGCTTCGTTTTTTGGATCTAAGATTCATTGTTAGGGATCAGGGATTCTTGTCGGGGGATTTGAGATTCGATTTGGGGGATCTGTGATTCTTTTGATCTGGGGGATTTGGATTTCTTTCAATTTGGGGGATCTGGGATTTTCTGTGGCTGGATTACATATATTAGATTTAGGGTTCCATAGATTCGACTGGATCTGAGTTTTTTTTTGCTTCGTTTTTTGGATTTGAGATTCATTGTAAGGCATCTGGGATTCTTGTCGGGGGATTTGAGATTCGATTTGGGGGATCTGGGATTCTTTTGATTTGGGGGATTTGGATTTCTTTCGATTTGGGGGATCTGGGATTTTTTTCTGACTGGGATTTCTTTCGATTTCTTTCGATTTGGATTTCTTTTTATTTGGGGGATTCGTTTTTTGATGTCGATATTGTTGGGGGTTCTGAGTTTTGCTCGTTAATATGGTAGTTTGTTGACCTGAGATATTATTTAACATGTTTGGGATACCAGTTTGTTGAATGTCGATATTTAGCATGCCCATGATGCATGGATATTTGTATGCTAGGTCTGGATATTTGTATGCCCTATATGGATATTAGTCTGGACTGTGCATATGCCTAATGATTTCTTTCCATGTATTTCAGGAATTTTGCAAGATGACAAGATCCAAAAGATGTTCGATTCCAGCTCCTCCATGAGAAGGGGAGGTGGAGGCACATCACTGGCTAAAACTATTGCTTTCTCATTTCTTATGTGATTGTGCTTTTTCGGATTTGAGATTCTGGGATTGCCAAGTTGTAATGGCATTGAATACTAGTTTTATCGCGGTTTGTCGATAAACAATTTGAGTTTGTTATTCTGGAATATTATTATGTTAGGGTCTGGATATTAGTTATGAAATGTATGGATATTAATATGCGCTGTCTGGATATTATGCTCTCATATTAGTTCTGTGAGGTCCAATGTTACTTAAGTGAGCTGGATATAACACAACCAAATATTCGATCATCCTAAACTAATATCCGCAAAGTTTAATAAAGACATGGATACTGGGTTGGTGAAGGATGAATACTGAACACAGAATAATAGTTCATTTCAACGATGATACTAGTAAGTAGATAAATAAATAAGGATAAGACTCCCCCACAACATGGATACAGTTTCCCCGGTGTTATCGTCATCATCTGACTCTGAATTGGAAATGAAAAACAACTCAACAAGGACATCAAGGAACATCGACACAAACCAATCCATGTAAAAGCCACAAACCTTGTCATACACGTCCACATAGACACCCTTCTAATATCCATTCATTGCAAAACTAATATCTAATAGTTGTAACCTAAACCGTGAACCCTAAACAAACAAAACTAAACCCTAAACTCTAAAACCCAAATCACTAAACTCTAAAAAATAAAAACTATTATTGTTTGCCCAAGCCGAGAATATTCAAAGGCTCCACACAAATATCCAAACACATGAACTAAAGGAATATTTTCTCACGTTCAAATAAATATCCACACAACCCGGACAAATATCACAATATTTTAAATAAAAATCCTGTGGTTAGTAAAAAGTATTACAACTAGGAAAGACAAGTATCCACAACACACTAACTAATATCTTACATTTGTACCCTAAACTCTAAACTCTAAAACACTAATCACTAAACACTAAAAAATAAAACTATTATTGTTTGCCCAAGCCGAGAATATTCAAAGGTTCCACACAAATATCTAAACACATGAACTAAAGGAATATTTCCTCAGGTTCAAATAAATATCCACACAACCCGGAAAAATATCAAAATATTTGGAAGAAATATCATGTGGTTAGTAAAAAGTATTACAACTATGAAAGACAAGTATCCACAACACTCCAACTATTATCTTCTATTTGTACCCTAACCCTAAACTCTAAACTCTAAACTCTAATAACTAAACACTAATAAAACAAAACTATTATTGTTTGCCCAAGCCGAGAATATTCAAAGGTTACACACAAATATCTAAACACATGAACTAAAGGAATATATCCTCAGGTTCAAATAAATATCCACACAACCCGAACAAATATCAAAATATTTTGAATAAATATCATGTGGTTAGTAAAAAGTATTAAAACTATGAAAGATAAGTATCCACAACACACCAACTATTATCTTCTATTTGTACCCTAACCCTAAACACTAAAAAAATAAAACTATTATTGTTTACCCAAGCCGAGAATATTCAAATGTTACACTCAAATATCAAAACAAAATTATGAACTAAAGGAATATTTCCTCAGGTTCAAATAAATATCCACACAACCCGAAAAATATCAGAATGTTTTAAATAAATATCATGTGTTTAGTAAAAAGTATTACAACTAGGAAAGACAAGTATCCACAACACACCAACTAATATCTTCTATTTGTACCCTAACCCTAAACCCTAAACTCTAAACTCTAAAACCCTAATCACTAAACACTTAAAAAATAAAACTATTATTGTTTGCCCAAGCCGAGAATATTCAAAGGTTACACACAAATATTTAAAATAAAACATGAAACATTGAAACAAGAAACCCTAACCCCGAACCCTAAACAATGAACACTACTAAATAAACTCTAAAAACAATATAATCAGGAAAGAATAGATATTCTTACTGACCAGACTAAACCTTAAACCCTAAAAGAGAACCCAAACCCTATTGTTGAAACCTTAACCCTAAGCTCTATATCGTAAACCCAAAACCCTAAACGCTAAACCAAACCTATACCATAAACTGTAAAAATAAACTATAAACAATAAAAACTATTATTATTTAATGGGCCTTCGGCCCATGGGCCCTCGGCGAGCAGCCCTAACTAAGGTTGCAAGCCTTATGTGTCAGGACTTGATAGTGTGTAGGACTTGCTAGTGTGTTTAATTTGATGTAAGACACAATATTCCAATCTTTCACAAATTGAAAACCAGAACTCTAAACCCAACAACTAATTCTCTAAATTGGTGTAATCAGTTTATGGTGGGTGGGTGATTTTGGACCGCCGTTAAACATTAGTCTAATGATGGATATTGTTTTGCGAAGGAATAATACGGCCCAAAATTTCAACAATGATGCAAAGCAATATCAACATAACATAAATTAACATCGACTGAGAACAAATAAATATCCACACAAACAAACATACATAATACTAACATGGGCCCATCAAATTTGGTTCTCTTTCCACTCCTATCCATTCTCCCGCCCAAAACTCAAGCCGGGCCCACCAGCCCACCACGCCACTTGCAGCCATTCTCCGCCGCCGCCACATGCTGGGGCGGCTTCTACACGTTGGCCCACCTACAGCTCACTTAAGTGAGCCACTACCAAGCCGCCTCTCGCGCCAAGATCAGGTGACTAAGGGGGTCCTCTTAGTCACTTGGCTAAGTCAATCTCAGCCATTACACCTCATTAAAATCTAATGGCTACAATTGATCCAATTTAATGAAGGACATTATAGTAATTATATTATTATTTAATTTATTAATTAAAACAATAAAAAAATTAGCGGCTACCTACCTTCCTTCCCGCGAGTCCCTGCCGGCGGAACTTCTTGTCCGGTGGTGCCGGTCCCCGCCGCCGTTTTCCTTGCGCCGCTACTCAGGGAGGGATGGGAATTTTAATCCCCATCCATTGATCTGTGCGGCCAGAGAGAGAGAGAGAGAGAGATTTTCTGGTCGGAAATTTTTTTCGACGAACATCGTCGCCGGAGAAGAATTTCCCGGTGACAGTGCTAATTTTGTGATGTTTGTTGACATATTTTGTAATGTTTGTATGCTTTGTTATTTTGTAATGTTTGTCGGTTTTTTTTGTAATGTTTGTAAACTTTGTTATTTTTGTGCACCAAGTTTGTAATGTTTTTTATGTCTAAAAAACAACTTGGTTGACTTTTGGATGGACCTCCTCTATATAAGGATGGAGCCTCCAAAGTCAACCCGAGTGTTTTTTTCTGGTTCGTATGGATTGTTGGTCTAGTTTGTCATTTTTGTCCACCATGTTCGTAATGTTTGTATGTCTAAAAAACACCCGGGTTGACTTTGGGAAGGAGCCCCTCTATATAGGGATGGAGCCTCCAAAGTCAACCCGGGTGTTTTTTCCCGTTCGTATGGATTGTCGGTCTAGTTTGTCATTTTTGTCCACCATGTTCGTACTGTTTGTATGTCTAAAAAACACCCGGGTTGACTTTGGGAAGGAGCCCCTCTATATAGGGATGGAGCCTCGAAAGTCAACCCGGTTGTTTTTTCTTTTTGTATGGTTTGTATTTTTAGTCGGTCTAGTTTGTATTGTTTGTACAGTTCATACATTTGTAATGTTTGTAAATCTGTTTGTATGTTTTGTCGCTCTAGTTTGTACTGTTCGTATGTTTGTATGGTTTGTACTGATTGTAAATCCGGTTTGTATACTTCGTAATTTTCCATAATACCCAAACTACCTCTGTCATTAATTAAATAGCCCTTCCCACTTTTTAACCATTGGATTGAAGTGTCCAGATCTAAGGGCTGGGAGGGGCTTAGTCAAGTGACTAAGCACCCCCCTTAGTCACTGGATCCGCTCTCGCCGCGTCTCCCCTCCATTGGATGAAATACCCACCGACGTGGGCCTTCATCCTGCCCTGTTAGACTATCCACAATGGTGGAAGGGAAAAAAGGAAAAAGAGGATGGGAAAAGTGGGGAAAAAGGATGAGAGAAGGATAATGGCCACAATAGGTGGTAGGGAAAAAAGGGTGTTGAGGATGAGTTTTTTTTCAAAATCAATCTAGAGTTGATATGATAACTTTATTTTGATAATTTATTCATTATTTTTATATAGGTAGTATTAATTAATTAAGACGAACATTTCGATATAATTTTTTTTTCAATTTGGACATAAAAAATTTTATCACTAAAATCCAATAACTCATAAAAATCCAATAAGAAAACCATAAAACAATTTTTAAAAACAAAAAACAAAAAAAACCCCACCCACATGGTCCCCCTTCCCTTCCTCCTCCCACCCACCTGGACCCACTTCCCCTCCTTCTTTTAACCTCTAGCGCAGGATAAACCCTCCCTTTCTTTCCCTTTTATCCTTTTTTTCCATAATACCCACCCCTATTGTGAGCCATTTCTTCTTTTTTTCCTTTTTATCCTCTTTTTCCCTTCTTGTTGTGGACAGTCTTAGTATATGCTAACACTTTGAGCAGGTAGCAGAATAACTTCTGCGGGATTTTGGTAGCCAAAACCCTCGCCGTTCTCCCAAAAAAAAAACCCCTCGTCGCCGTGGCCGTAGCCTCCTAGGGTTTAACGGAGGTCGAACTACGCCGCTGGAGCAGACGACGAGCACGAGGTCCTCTTCCTCTTCGTTCGTCTAACAGACGAACTTTTTGACTCTTCACCAATAGGTAACAGCCCACTGCCCCGGTTTCCTGCCTATTCACTCTTTGAACCCTTCATAAATCTTATCTAATAAGTGCAAAATATCTGCCAACAAATGCAAATCCGAACGAATCCCTTGTTCGTATGTCGTGGCCTGCTTAATTTCTTGTCTCTGGCTCTGCCAATTGTATGTCTTTGCCATGATGATATTAATGCCTAGATTCTGTAAAATTGCGAGGAAGTTATCTGATATGTTACCTCTCGGTCGCTCAACTTTGCCTGGAGCTCTTCTCGCTCATAAACCGGGTCCTGCTAAAAACCCGTTTCTGGTTTCTGTGAAAGTCCGATGCTTTCAAAGTGCTAGCTCTGCTGCTGCTAGAACAGAGGCTCAAGCGGTGCTCTTTGAGTACTTGTATTCCACTAGGAGCCTCCGCTTCACAGATGCAGAGTACATCAGCAAGAACTCGCCTCGTTTCCTTCGGAAATTGCTCTCAGAGGTGGACGGGGGGAAGGATGTTGAGCAGTCTTTGACTAAGTTCCTTATGTACAACCCAATTAATGAGTTTGAACCCTTTATGGAGAGCTTGGGTGTGAAGCCAAGCGATTACTCTTTGATTGGCCCACGGAAGTCTGTGTTTTTGGGCGATGATAAGGGCTTGCTTGACAACTTCCACGTCCTAGTTGATTATGGAGTCCCTCGTCACCAGATTGGTAAGATGTTCAGGGAATCCTTTGAGGTTTTCATGTATGGCAATGGGGTGCTAGCTTCAAAACTCCAGGCTTATGAGGACTTGGGCCTAAGCAAAAGTGTTGTGATTAAGCTGGTCATTTGTTGCCCCTCTCTCCTGATTGGTGATGTTGACAATCACTTTGTTCAATTACTTGAGAGATTGCACGGTTTAGGAATAGGAATCGATTGGATCAGTAGGCACTTGACGCCAAAAGGATCGTATAACTGGAGAAGAATGCTCGAAACAATAAATTTTCTTGAACAGTTGGGTTGTAATGAAGAGCATCTGCAGAATTTGTTTGAAGCAGATCCTACTGTAGTGTTTGAAGGTTCTGGAAAGAAGGTTTATTTACTTCTCGGGCAGCTGATCAAATTGGGTCTCGAAGAAGAAAAGATATCTTCTTTGTTCATAGAAATCCCTGAGATATTGTCAGCCAAGTATGCGAAGAATCTCATGAAAGCCATCCTTTTCTTGTTTGACATTGGAATGGATGCAGAAAGTTGTGCTGATGTCGTGTCAACGCATGTGGAACTTTTGAGCTCATGCCCCTTGAAGCAGCCAAAAAGTGTTTGCAAGGACTTGAATATTGACAAAGACCGTTTACTCCATATAATAAGGGAGGATCCAGTGAAGTTGTTTAGTTTGGCTGCTAAGTCGAAATCTTCAGGCATTAAGCGAGTTGATACAAGTAATCAAACAGAGAAGCAAGCATTCTTGCTCAGATTGGGATATGTCGAGAATTCCGATGAAATGATGGCAGCATTGAAGAAGTTTCGAGGCAGAGGGGATCAGTTGCAGGAGAGGTTCGATTTCTTGGTCCAAGCTGGCCTGGATCCAAACCTTGCCACAAGCCTAGTTAAACGAGCTCCAATGGTGCTTAACCAGACAACCGAAGTACTTGAGAAGAAGATTGACTGCTTGACAAGCTACTTGGGTTATCATGTTAATTCAATGGCAGCATTCCCAGCGTATTTATGCTATGACGTAGAGAAGATCAATAAGAGATTCAGAATGTATGTGTGGTTGAGAAGCAAAGGGGCTGCAAAAGCCGAGCTGTCTTTAAGCACTATTCTTGCATGTTCTGATAAACGATTTGTGAAGTACTTCGTAGATGTCCATCCTGATGGCCCAGCCGCGTGGGGAAGTTTATGTAATGATGTATCTGTTTCAGGCTAAGGCTAGTTTTTTGCCCTTGTAAACCATTATACGTACCTGTTTTTTCTAACTTCCAGGTCCAATGACTTGTTAACTACTAAGCATGGTAAAAACTGTGAAATTTCATCTCGGATTGGCGGGAATGGTGCCACGGCCTTCCTGTGCCGCAATCTATAGATGCCCTGCGGCAACTTGCATGATGTCCAAATTGTTGGAGTGGAGTTCCACTCCAACGGAAGCGATTTCTAGATTCACCTATCGGCGAAATGGGTGGCAACCGCTTTCTTGGTACACATTCCTTTCCATGTGTTAGATGGATTCATTTGTTGACGAGATTATGGTGTATCTCGGTATCTCCTGGTGTTCATGGCTGATATGAGCAACTTTACTATCTTGTGGAGCTAAGTTCTGCAAACAGTCGGTTTGCTGCTGCTTTCACAATGGCCAGTTGTTGTCTTCTATCCTTAGTTAGCAATTTGTTTCGCAGGTCAGCGAGCACATATTGCCACCTTCGCAGAATTGGGCACTGCAGGCGCGAACACCCCCACCTACGCCTTGGGCGACCAGGTCGTGTGAGTTGTTGCTTGAGAGCACTTTTTTTTTAAGATTTGGGTGCAATATATGCATGCACTAGCTAGCCAATGACCCTAACTTGGCAGAAATGCTGACAGCTAATGATATCGCTCGACTTCGTGTGCACTTTCACCTCTCCAAGGTCATAATCGAAGGCGACCGGACATGGTTTCTGCAGCACAATTAGTCTTAATGAACCAGACCCATCATTAACCATTGGGAGGGCACAATCTTTCTGGAAATCAAGATTCTTTGTATATCAGTTCAACTTTTATTATTTCCTGTTGTACAGTGTAGGAAACAAGTTTCCTACGGGTCTCCAGATCAGATCTAGAGATTGAGAATTTAGGGTTTATAGAACAGAATTGGGGATTTAGGGATTTGAGAAGAGAATTTGGGGACGAACAGAGATAGAATGGCTGAAGCCTTTAGAGAGAAAGATAGACGAGATTGAGAGAAGATTAGGGATTTGGGGAGATGACTTTTCTTATTAATTTCTGCTTAATCTGACGAATGAACCAAAGTACATATATATAGGGAAATACTAGAAAACCCTAAGAATAAACCTAATTCTACTAGAAGACTACTAACCATAATAAGAATTATCCTAATAATGATTATAATAATAATATAGAAAAATCGTGTTTCCCACATCTCCTCCCCCTTCAGACCAACCTTGCCCTCAAGGTTGACTGACTTGACCCATTTCTTCCAATCTTCTCGCCCAATCCAATCATCGCTTCTTCGCTGCTTGCGCTTCCTTTTCTTCCAATTGTGTTCCACTACTTGAACGAATCCCACACCAGCGACTCCGACTCCAATGGCTTCCTCCCAATCCACGTGACAACGCAAGTTGCAACCATGATCAAATATCCCTCCATTCTCCTTTTCAAACTCCACCATATAAGAATCATAGAGTTTTTCTTCATTTCGGCTTGGGTCATTTGAAAGCCCACTTACCAACCCAAGAACTCCATCTAAGCCTGTTTCCCTCAACACATAGCCCAAGTGTGGCTTATTTTCTTCCTCCAAACGCGGCCCAAGTCTGTATTCGAAGATCTTCTCTTGACAAACCAGCCCAAAACTTAAATAGCCTTTGTCCGTTGGGGGATCCACTTGACCTGGCCCATCTCGCCTTGCCAAGCCCATCATGTCCTTTCCCATTGCCAGCCCGTGACCCAAACAATCCACTCCTCCCAGCCCATTAAAACTGTTGGCCCGAAGTAGCTTGCTCTGCTGATATAATCTGCCCAACTCGAGCCCAACAAAATCCACCCCACCAATTACGAGCCCGATACTTAGCTCTGTCCCTTGTGAGGCCGGTCTCAGCACAAAATTCGGCCCGCCTTGCTGAACCAATTCGGCCAACTCGAGCCAAACGACTCGAACCACAACTCGGCCCAATGGTTCAGGCCGCTTGGTGGCGCGACCTAGGGTTGCTGGAGATGGGAAGTTGCCGCCGCCGTCCTTCTTCCTCGTCGCGCCGTCCGCCATCGCTGCCGCCTCCGCCGCCGAGCGCTCCCCCGCGTCGGCGCCCGCAGCTGCCTTCTCCGCCTCGGTCGCCGCCGCCCTCACCTCCGTCGTCGCCTCGACATCATATCGCGGCGTCTGCACGATTCGGGCGGCCGCCGACGCCATCTTCGACGACGGACAGAGGATGTCGCCGCCCTTCTCCTCCTCTGTCTTCTTCGCCCTCGTCGCGACTCTCGTCTCCGGCAAGGCAACCATGTCGCCCTTTACTTTCTTCTCCTCTCGCGGCGAGTCTTCCAATTTCGTCGCCATCGGCGCCTTGAAGGTCGCTGCTGAAGGTAGCAGTGTTCCGAGCATTTTGGATTTCGGTGACTCAAGCCAGCAGCTCTTCTTCGACGACGAGTCCTCGTCGATCGACCACGCCACGGAGGCTGCCGCAAATCGCGAGTCCACCGGTGGTGGCGGAACTCTGATCGTGGTGGATTCCTGGTCGGCAGCAGGCTCCGACGGTGATTCTTCACTCTTCTTCTGCTTCTCAGAAGCCCAGCCATCTCCGGGTCCTCTTTTCTTCTTCCTGAACTTCCATGTCGAGGGCCTCCCATAACCCGAGGCTCTCCGTTTTGAAGGGATCTCAAAAAAAGACCCATAGGCAGCTGGGTTTTGCGGATGAGGGGCCTCGACCTTTGCCGCCCTGAAGTTGTCTTTGGCGGTGCTGGCAGGATTGCGTGGTTGCTCACTGGTGGTGAAGTTTGGATCAGACGATCGGGGGACAGGTCGTCCTGCTGCACCCTTCAGGGGCTGTCGTTGCTGGCCAAAACTCTCGACGACCACCTTTCCTTCTTCAACTGTGGATGGTGATGTTGCCGGGAAAACTGCAGCTGTTGTAGCTGCCTTCTTGCCCACTGTCAACGACTGCTTCTCTGCTGCACCTTTGATTGTAGCCGGGGCAACAGCTTCTTCTCCGAGGATAGAAGCCACAGCCAGCTTTGGCTCTCGCGACTCCGGTACTGCGACGGTGGTGATGGTGCTTTTGATGGTGGCATGATCTTTTTCCTGCGCGAGCGGTAGCTCCTCGGGGATCCAACGACGTCCGATGCGGCGTGCCCGTTCCCGCAGTTCTGCCCATGACAGGTCCGAGAGCCTTGAAGAGCTCATCGTCGAACCGGTTGTAGAACTCGTCCCCGGTTGAGAGTTGTGAAAAACTCAATTCTCGAAACCGGGCTCTGATACCAGATGTAGGAAACAAGTTTCCTACGGGTCTCCAGATCAGATCTAGAGATTGAGAATTTAGGGTTTATAGAACAGAATTGGGGATTTAGGGATTTGAGAAGAGAATTTGGGGACGAACAGAGATAGAATGGCTGAAGCCTTTAGAGAGAAAGATAGACGAGATTGAGAGAAGATTAGGGATTTGGGGAGATGACTTTTCTTATTAATTTCTGCTTAATCTGACGAATGAACCAAAGTACATATATATAGGGAAATACTAGAAAACCCTAAGAATAAACCTAATTCTACTAGAAGACTACTAACCATAATAAGAATTATCCTAATAATGATTATAATAATAATATAGAAAAATCGTGTTTCCCACATCTCCTCCCCCTTCAGACCAACCTTGCCCTCAAGGTTGACTGACTTGACCCATTTCTTCCAATCTTCTCGCCCAATCCAATCATCGCTTCTTCGCTGCTTGCGCTTCCTTTTCTTCCAATTGTGTTCCACTACTTGAACGAATCCCACACCAGCGACTCCGACTCCAATGGCTTCCTCCCAATCCACGTGACAACGCAAGTTGCAACCATGATCAAATATCCCTCCATTCTCCTTTTCAAACTCCACCATATAAGAATCATAGAGTTTTTCTTCATTTCGGCTTGGGTCATTTGAAAGCCCACTTACCAACCCAAGAACTCCATCTAAGCCTGTTTCCCTCAACACATAGCCCAAGTGTGGCTTATTTTCTTCCTCCAAACGCGGCCCAAGTCTGTATTCGAAGATCTTCTCTTGACAAACCAGCCCAAAACTTAAATAGCCTTTGTCCGTTGGGGGATCCACTTGACCTGGCCCATCTCGCCTTGCCAAGCCCATCATGTCCTTTCCCATTGCCAGCCCGTGACCCAAACAATCCACTCCTCCCAGCCCATTAAAACTGTTGGCCCGAAGTAGCTTGCTCTGCTGATATAATCTGCCCAACTCGAGCCCAACAAAATCCACCCCACCAATTACGAGCCCGATACTTAGCTCTGTCCCTTGTGAGGCCGGTCTCAGCACAAAATTCGGCCCGCCTTGCTGAACCAATTCGGCCAACTCGAGCCAAACGACTCGAACCACAACTCGGCCCAATGGTTCAGGCCGCTTGGTGGCGCGACCTAGGGTTGCTGGAGATGGGAAGTTGCCGCCGCCGTCCTTCTTCCTCGTCGCGCCGTCCGCCATCGCTGCCGCCTCCGCCGCCGAGCGCTCCCCCGCGTCGGCGCCCGCAGCTGCCTTCTCCGCCTCGGTCGCCGCCGCCCTCACCTCCGTCGTCGCCTCGACATCATATCGCGGCGTCTGCACGATTCGGGCGGCCGCCGACGCCATCTTCGACGACGGACAGAGGATGTCGCCGCCCTTCTCCTCCTCTGTCTTCTTCGCCCTCGTCGCGACTCTCGTCTCCGGCAAGGCAACCATGTCGCCCTTTACTTTCTTCTCCTCTCGCGGCGAGTCTTCCAATTTCGTCGCCATCGGCGCCTTGAAGGTCGCTGCTGAAGGTAGCAGTGTTCCGAGCATTTTGGATTTCGGTGACTCAAGCCAGCAGCTCTTCTTCGACGACGAGTCCTCGTCGATCGACCACGCCACGGAGGCTGCCGCAAATCGCGAGTCCACCGGTGGTGGCGGAACTCTGATCGTGGTGGATTCCTGGTCGGCAGCAGGCTCCGACGGTGATTCTTCACTCTTCTTCTGCTTCTCAGAAGCCCAGCCATCTCCGGGTCCTCTTTTCTTCTTCCTGAACTTCCATGTCGAGGGCCTCCCATAACCCGAGGCTCTCCGTTTTGAAGGGATCTCAAAAAAAGACCCATAGGCAGCTGGGTTTTGCGGATGAGGGGCCTCGACCTTTGCCGCCCTGAAGTTGTCTTTGGCGGTGCTGGCAGGATTGCGTGGTTGCTCACTGGTGGTGAAGTTTGGATCAGACGATCGGGGGACAGGTCGTCCTGCTGCACCCTTCAGGGGCTGTCGTTGCTGGCCAAAACTCTCGACGACCACCTTTCCTTCTTCAACTGTGGATGGTGATGTTGCCGGGAAAACTGCAGCTGTTGTAGCTGCCTTCTTGCCCACTGTCAACGACTGCTTCTCTGCTGCACCTTTGATTGTAGCCGGGGCAACAGCTTCTTCTCCGAGGATAGAAGCCACAGCCAGCTTTGGCTCTCGCGACTCCGGTACTGCGACGGTGGTGATGGTGCTTTTGATGGTGGCATGATCTTTTTCCTGCGCGAGCGGTAGCTCCTCGGGGATCCAACGACGTCCGATGCGGCGTGCCCGTTCCCGCAGTTCTGCCCATGACAGGTCCGAGAGCCTTGAAGAGCTCATCGTCGAACCGGTTGTAGAACTCGTCCCCGGTTGAGAGTTGTGAAAAACTCAATTCTCGAAACCGGGCTCTGATACCAGATGTAGGAAACAAGTTTCCTACGGGTCTCCAGATCAGATCTAGAGATTGAGAATTTAGGGTTTATAGAACAGAATTGGGGATTTAGGGATTTGAGAAGAGAATTTGGGGACGAACAGAGATAGAATGGCTGAAGCCTTTAGAGAGAAAGATAGACGAGATTGAGAGAAAATTAGGGATTTGGGGAGATGACTTTTCTTATTAATTTCTGCTTAATCTGACGGATGAACCAAAGTACATATATATAGGGAAATACTAGAAAACCCTAAGAATAAACCTAATTCTACTAGAAGACTACTAACCATAATAAGAATTATCCTAATAATGATTATAATAATAATATAGAAAAATCGTGTTTCCCACATACAGCGCTCAGCAAACAGGATGACCCATATAGTAGCGCAGAGTCCTACAAATAACTCTATCGATTTCTTGATCTCCGTTTTCGGCTTTCTGTCAGAATGATGATCTATCTCGGTTAAAGGAAGTGTTGATGTGACTTGAATCAGTCTATCAGCCGCTACAACTAGAATAGTCGGGGTTTAGACCCACATGGAGAAGTATAAATACTTCTCATCTCCTCTGTAATCTATAATCTCTTCGATATAGTGAAATTGGCTTTCTCTCGCCCGTGGACTAGGTAACACACATCGTGTTAGTGAACCACGTAAATCGTGTATCGTGTTTTTTGATTCTCGTTTTCGTATTCTTGCTTTCTCGATTCCGACGATTTCCCAATCAGTAGCAGTGCGTTTATAACAGGAAGAATGCCGAGCTTTTTCCAAATCTCAGATTTGCTTAAAGATCTCTCATGTTTTCTAGAAATTCTCTTTGAAAGATACCCCTTAGTAGAATCGGAGCCAGCAACTTTCTCACGTTCTTGTTATCCGAACAAACTTCCCAACGTTGGGAGAATCAAATATGTTGCATGCAATAGCTTTTAACGGGGTGCCAAACTTTGACTGCGTACTGTACAGAATCCGGCACAAAGAAGAACGAAAGTTTTATGGTATTAATGTATTACTAACTAGCACAGGCATGTCCGAAAGTTTTATGGTATTTATGGTATTAATGTATTACTAACTTTGACTGCGTACTGTACAGAATCCGGCACAAAGAAGGACAATATGCTAAATTGTCCCTAATAGTTAGTTGGACAAATGTGTTGTGTAGTAATTTTCATGCAACAAATATTTTTTTCATGAAATAATTCAATAAATAAAAACCTATGAAAATCATATTACATGAAATATATGTTACTCATTAATTTGATGTATGAGCGAGGTTATAAGTAACATACATTTATTTTAAAAATATAGAAGTTGTAAAGTGTCTTTTGGGTTGAATGAGATCGCATATTCTCATTATCGCTAACTGACTTATGCTTTTTTGCAATAGATAGTTCAAAATGCGCCTTAAAACTTTTGTTACCACGTAAAAGAATTGTCTGAACCAAACGATTGTAACAGTATCAAAAAATTTGGTAGTAGAGTATCTTATAATAAAATCATAATTTAACTGTGGTTCAACCGTTTTATATTGCTAAATATCACGTATCGATTTAGCCTATGGTGTGAAGTTTTATGGTCGAACCGCCAGTACGTACGATCTTTCAATTCAAACTTTAAATAAAAAACTACTAAAATATTGACATTATCAAATATCCCTGAAACCTAAAAAATTACCATAATCGTATTAAGGAAAAAATCATCCAAATTCTAATATAAAATTAGGATTTAAAATTGAAATTGAAAAATTTGTCAAATATAATGTCTTCTCCTAATATAATTAAAACTCAACAGAAGAGGGCCAAGAATACCCACTACACTAAGTAAAGCAGAAGACCAATTATTTTACACTATCTCATTCCCCCCCCCCCCCTTTTAAGTGTGTTCCCTCTCTCTCTCTCAGCCTTCCTCTTTGTTTTTCCGTTTGTTCTTCCGTCTCTCTCTCTCGAAGCTTTCTATCTCACCACTCTCCTCCTTTCCCTTCCTCTTTCTTCCCACCGCCTAGAATCGATAGAAACCTAGAAACATCTCCATTACTTCTCCAATTTTGAGTTCGAAATGCTTCTTCTCCATTCACAGTCGATAGTATGAATCAAAGCACCTGAAACCTAGCAAAGAGATGGCCGCTAATTCCTTGACGGACCAAAGTAGTTTGATAGCTTATGAATAAACTAATTACTAAAAATGATAAAAACAAAATTCGTTAAACCAATTGAGTGAGTGTATAGTTAGTGCATCACTTAAACCATTTTATTTATCTAAAGTATCACAGTGCATAATCAGTTTCATCTTCACTTATTTACATGTATTTTTCGTACAAATTCATTACACATAAAAAATGGTTTTGAATCTGCATGTCAAACTAAATCTCAGATACATAAAGGCAAAACATGGGTTGGAATTGTTCCATTTCAAATTTAGTGGCCTGAGAGTGATTCTAGGAAGATAATTTTTGTCATTGCACTCACTTCATCTTTATATATTAAAAATGTTAACATTGGAGTTTGAACATTGGTCACTTAAATGAAGAAAGAGCATTAACCAACTAGACTACATTGTGTTTATTGTTATTTTTTTATTAAACTCTAGGAATATGTTTGGTGATGATGCTTCTATATTTATAGTTTATCTTAAGTTATTTATATTTTATAGAAAGACATTAGTTCTGAAATCGAAACTCAAGTAATATTGATTTCAAACATTAATATTAAATTGTATGTGTAGTTTAATTTAGTTTAGTTAAGATAAAATACAGAAGTGTAACCAAAACATGGATCATTGTAACGAGTATAGTAATTTTTTTGAGAAATCTACACATAATATAATGATAAAATTGGAAAATGAGAGTCTTCTTTTAAATTTCGTGGACTGAGAGTGATTCTACGAACATCTTTTTCGTCATAGCGCCAAATTTATCTTTATATTATGTGTAGATTTGTCACAAAAAATCACTATATATGTCACGAAGACCTATATTTTGGCTACACACATGTATTTTTATCTAAACTGTACCACATCTACAGTATCATTTATAGTGGAAACATAAAACTGCAACCCCAATTCAAAAATTCCTGCCCTCAGAGTGAATTGCGGGAGATGAGCTGGCTGGCCATTTACGCGGCCTTTTTCTCTTTCCTTTTTGAGGAACTGTAACCGTCCTTCCCCGTTTTCTTTACTCTTTCTCACAACAAATTGCATCTCCAGCGTCCCTTTCTCCCCTGAAGTGCAGCCCTCTCTTCTCCACCGTGCTTCGCTGTCATCTCCTTTCGTTGCGAAGCCAGGATGGAAGGGCAGTTGTGGACAACGGCGGTTGGACGGAGTGGTTGTCAATAAGGATGGGATGGAGGGATGGGGTCCGGTTGTTGACGGCGACCAAAACAGCAACGAAAGAATAGTGCGCCCAATCCGTTCACTCTCTTCGAGACGCTTTCATTCACTTCATATTTTCCAAAACCCCTCGATTTCACCGCCTGCAAAGTAATTATCACGTTCGCTCAGACAACTTCTCATTCGCCTTCCCTGTCAATCAATCCTCAACATTTTTTAGTCGGTTTGTTGGATAAGAAAAAGAAAACGATGGGAGATCCAAGCCACCTGGAGAAGATGGGCAGAGGGCTAAAGTGCCCCCTTTGGTTATCTTTTGAACTTTACCTCTCATTTTAAACTGCCGCACAACTAACCAGGTTCTGTTCTCGATTTTCTTTCTCTATCGCAGCTTCGTATTGTTGACATTGGCGGCTTCTCTCTCCTGCAATAATGTGTTCTGCAAGTAAGAATCCCAATCTGTACCTGCTCTGTTTTCTGAGAATTTTATCTTGTAGGGTTTGTAGCTTAAGCTTTTTGCTCATTGGATGCCACTTGACCTTTTCAGCTCCTCTATTTTGAAATTGATGATGTCCCATTCCATTTGCCTGGTCTGCAACCTTTCGACGAGAGGTAAGGTTGGGTACTCTCTTTCTCCATTCTGAGATTGTGGCCAAGAGTTTCTGTTTTCTGGCTAGGCATATCGATTCCAGGTAATTGATTACAATTCATCAATTAAATGGAACCAAATCCTGCTATTCATTCTCATCAATGGACATGAGTTTTTGGGTTCTAGCCATGCATATCGATTCCAGGTAATTGATTACAATTCATCAATTAAATGGAACCAAATCCTGCTATTCATTGTCATCAATGGACATGAGTTTCTGGGTTCTAGCCATGCATATCGATTCCAGGTATATGATTGCAATCTGTCAATTAAAGTGGAACCTAATTCTATTTTTGTTCAATTCTTGAGAATTTTTATCCACATACTTCGATTTCCCAGTTGCATCTAATTCCAGTTCATGTGCGGATCAGGCTAGCGTAGATGACTCTGTCCATGTAGGATTACGGTACACCCGTCTTAACGCCGGAATTTGATGGCGGATAGGAAATGACGAGGGAGGTCTAATTTCAGTTCATACGAGGGTCAAGCTAGCAAGCTGTGAGGCTGATAGACCGTTAATTACACATGTTTTTACCCCTGTTCTTACACCGTTTGAGGTGTTGATTCTCGTGTTTTAGGCCGATTTCACGCTAGGTTGTGCTAGTTTGTGATATTTCAGGTCCTAGTACGTGAATGGAGGCTTGGGAGCGAGTTTGGGGTCGATTGGACGTAGATCGGACGCATGGCGAGGTGCCAAGGAAGCCGCACGGGCAGTCCGGGAAATCACACGGCCGTGCAACTTACAATTGTGGCCGTGTGATTTTTGCCGAGAGCAAACACGGGCAGGATGGAAATCTCACACGGCCGTGCAACCCTGGCCGTGTGGGATGGCTGAAGTGCAACTAATTGATACGCTGCGTTTTGACTCACACGGGCAACTGGGTG